ATGCCGGCAGCTTCAGTGGCCATCACGGAATAAACTGTGATGGCAGGATTCAATCTGCGTTTCATTAAAAGCCAGAATGTTGGACTTTGCAAAATATAGTTGCTTTCCTGAGCATCAAGATTAGCAATTCACAATTAAGCCCTCTGTTCCTCAAAAATAATTTTTTACTATTTTGTTTACAGTTTAGTTATCCTTGACATCGAACAGAAAACCAAAATTATTAACAACTGGAACCAATCAACAACTCACACAGAAGCCTGATTTGATAGCTTCAGGGCTGCCTTGACTGACTTCCATTATAAAGCTGAGAATTAACCCCCAGTAGTCTGCATTAACTCTCATTCCAAAGACACACGCCCTCTGCCCGACAAAAGGGATAAATCAGCTTAGTCCCGAGTTATAACTGATTTTTTAAAATATTGCAGCAACTATGGATCTTAAGACTCAATAAATGCAGTGGTTGGCTCAGCCTCAAAGAACTGGAATCTGTCTGAGTCAGGGTGGAAGTCTTAATACTTGAGCGGTGCGCCTGACTTAGTCACCAAATGAGCAGCCAGCCCGATAGCATCACAATATGGACATCAAGTCCACTTCAGCACAGGCAACTGTCCAAAGAGGTCAAGCACGAAAATGGGGCTAGTAGTCTTTCGTTTACTCGTACAGGAATGCAGGGCAGACACATCTGTGGGAGGCGCTGCAATCAGGACAGATTCCTTTTTAATGTCCATCTGGGAAGGTATGCTTGCCTACACAAACATGTGAGGCTGGCAGCACGGGGTATTTCCTAACTCTTATAAAACAAGGTAGTGGCAAATGTCACTCCCTTGCCCGATCTGTAAAAGTCTGTCCCCTGGTCTATCTTCCTCAAGACTGGCAAATCCGCCTCATATTTTCCAAGCAGCCTTAGCAAACAAAAAAAAAGAACTCAAACATACTTTTCTACCAGGGCAATGAATGAGACTGCCTTGCTCACTCTTGCCACACATTTCTACCCATAGTTTGGGTTTATCCCAACTAATGAAAAATAGGGACACTTCCATATTAACTGGAAACCTCTTTTATCATTTCACTTTTGATGTACTACATTTTTTTCCTTCAAAATAGTTTATTCGTTAGGAGGAAATGGCTAATGTAAATTGAACTGGTTTGAAAGACAGTAAAAACATATATGTTCAAATCATTAAAAAGAAGTGGGTGAGCCCTGGCCGGTTTTCTCAGTGGTTAGAGCACTGGCCCACGGACCAAAGAGTCTCGGGTTCGATTCCAGTCAAGGGCACGTAACTCGGTTGTGGTTTGTCCCTGGCCCTGGTTGGGTCTTGTGAGGGCAATCAGTCGATGTGTCCCTCTCACGTCAACTCTCCCTCCCTCCTTCTCTATCTTAAGATAAATGGAAAAATATCCTCGGGTGAGGATTAAAAAAAAAACAAGAAGTGGGTCTGATTACCGAAAAAACAATATTCCTGTTTTTCTTAAGTCCCACATTAGTACATTTTGGTTTACTTATCCTAAAAAAGAAAACAGTGCACAACAGAAGAAAAACCAATTAAACAAAGGTCAGGATAAAAGTGAGCCCCAAGTGCCCCAGTAAGGGACATTAATCCTTGAAAGGCCAGCATAAGTTTTCACGTCATTCTCACAGAAAATTACCAAAACAGGATGCTAGGCATCTGGCATTGGGGGTTGCTAATACCCTAAGAGTAAAAGCAGACACCAAACAGTACTTATTATGGGGCTGAAATTTTTCATGTACTCCTTATAACAAATCTAATGAAATAAGTGCTACCATTATCCCCATGGTACAGACGAGAAACTAAGGCACAGAGAGATTAAATAAATTGCCCAAAGTTAGGCAGCTGGCAAGTGGCAGAACCACGACCGAAACCCAGGCACATGGGCTGCACACTCTGTCTCAGGAACCGGCGCTGGGCTGCCTTGCCTAGAGTCCTCTGTGTACACCAGATGAAAAGTAGGGAGTCCAAATGTACATAGAATAATCCATCAGAAAAGCTACTTTTGTTATGAAATAAAATCCAGGCCTACAACACACTCCAAATAAGTTAAAGCAAACTTATGTTTTCAAGATGGTAAACTTACTGAGCAGATGTACGTCCTCTCATTTCTCAAATCCCAGTGATAGGATAGAAAATTTTAAAGAAAAGAGAATAAACCATAATGATGCAGGACAACGGGCAGAAGTAATTATCAGATGAAAATGGCTGGATAGGAACACACAGTAGAATAATCATAACCGAAAACAGGAATGAAAGAGGTCTGCTGCAGAGATGAGAACTATTCTTCCTGATAAAATCATGTGCAGCAGAAATGCAAATCTTTGACTTAAAAAGCATATGGACTGGGCTCCTGGGGTTATCATCAGCAATGCCTACAGCACTAGTACAAAAGACTAGCTCTCACTCAATAGAGGAGGTTATCTCAAGCATGGGCCTTGGGGCAGAGTGGAGTCTACGTCTAGGCCTTCCCAAGAACAGAGGACAACAGCCAGTAAAGGCACCTCTACCCAGGAGTGCAATACTGTCAGTGCTCCCAAGCGCTCATGCCAACAGCAAAACCTTCCTTGTGGCCATGGAGACCCTAGCTGCTCCTCACCCTCACCCTCCAGACTCGGAGTGGCCTGCTTGTGAGCATGCACAGCTCTGCACAGCCCTGGAGGGAGCTTTGTGATGAGGGAAGAGGACTACCGCTAACAGTGCTCCAGAACTTTTGGGGAAACCTAGTGTAATTAACCTAATTCTCTATTTATAAATATGTTTGAATCACCAAGGACCAAAACAATGTAAAATTCAAAGAACTAAGATGAAAAACAACAGGTCAAAGTTAACAGAAAAACCTGGCATTGGAGTAACACTCTTAGTTAGCTGTACCCACGGAAGACGCGAGGCACATGAACCCTCACAACTTTTTAGAGCTGGCAATGAAAATGTTTGCAGCTGCCCTGGCCGGTTTGGCTCAGCGGTTAGAGTGTCGGCCTGTGTTCCAGAGAGACCCGGGTTCGGTTCCCGCTAAGGGCATGTACCTCGGTTGCAGTTTGTCCCTGGCCCTGGTTGGTCGTGCAAGTGGCAGCCACTTGATGTGTCCCTTTCACGTCAATGTTTCTCTCTTTCTCTCTCTCTCTCTCTCCCCCACTCTACCTGAAAAAAAAAAACACAGGAAAATGTCCTCGGGTGAGGATAAAAAAAAAAAAAGGAAAAGAAAATGTTTGCAGCTGATTATTGCAGATTCAACACCCCCCAAAACTCTCCATAGACTAATATTAAAATGAACTTTTATTCTCTAAGGATATAGGCACTGAGATCTAACCCTAGCTCTAAGGCCAGTATTTATGAAAGCTTGGGAAAATAACTGCTTTCTGTCTTAATTTTCCTATATATTAAAGGGGGACAATGTTTTTTGTACAATCTAGTTCAGGGAGCTGTTTAACAATCAAAACAGAAAATGTCTGTTTAAAAGTTTTCAGAAAGTAAAAGGCACCATACAATGCAAGGTGACAGCGCTGGCTGAAATGGGCTGCACACTGGGGAGCAGGTGGAGCCCAGCGCTGGCTGAAAGTTTGCTGTGGACAGTCCACAGACAGCCAGCCAAGAAAGGCCTCTGCTTCTTGAACTGGTTCAAAGAAACACACTCTGAAGCCTGTAGTCTGGAGTAAGACTCACTGAATAAGCACTGCTAGGACTTGAACTGTAATTCCAGGGAACCAAGAAATTTAGTCATTTGAAGGCACTGCTCACCAAGAGATGACCTCATACACAGCTCGAAACAGTCAGACTGATTATATAAGTCTGCTGACATGGAGACGTCTGACTGGAACATAGGAAGCCTGACTAACACAAACATCCTTGGCAATCAGGTACTTACTAAATATGTATTTATTAAGTAACTACTGCATTCCAAATGTTGAGCCAAGCAACTTGCTATACTAACAAGTCCAGACCACACTCAAAAGAGACAAAAACTGGCAAAACACATTCAGTCACTAACTGGCAAAACACAGTCACTAGTACACCGCTGGTGGTGAACAGTCACTGAAAAACCAGAATGACAAGAAGCCAAGTACCTTAAACTGATATGCACATAAATCTTGTCATGAGATAAAAAGATTCCACAGTGCTTCTGAAGGTGAGGTTTTAATAGGGCCCTTACAAAGTATTATTATATTCTTTGTTAAAATTTGCTTTCTAGTAAAAGAAGTAAGAGATAGAGTAACTAAATATATGGACCTTGCTTGGATTGATGCAAATCAATCATGAAAATTAAATTTATAAAACAATTGTGAAGCCCTGGCCAGTTTGGCTCAGTGGTTGAGCATAGGCCTGCGAACCAGAGAGTCCCGGGTTCGGTTCCTGCTAGGGGCACATGCCACCAAAAAAAAAAAAAAAAACAATTGTGAAAATTTAAACACTAGGTAGATGTCTGATGATAGTAAGATATGATAAATATAATAAATATTATATAAATATTATTTTAAAAAGACAAAAATGGTAGTCCGTATCATTCAGAAATAGATACTACAGTGTTTGCTGATGAAATGCTATCATTTCTCAGAATTACATTAAAATAATATGGGGAGCCCTGGCCAGTTTGGCTCAGCGGCTGGAGCATCAGCCGCAGACCAATGAGTCGCGGGTTTGATTCTGGTCAAGGGCACGTACCTTAGTTGCGGTTCATCCGCCAGCCCAGTCAGGTCATGCAGAGGCAACCAGTCAATGTGGCTCTATCACAACAATGTTTCTGTCTCTCCCTTCCTCCCACTCTATCTAATGATAAACAGAAAAATATCCTCAGGTGAAGAATAAAAAAAATAATAATATGGGAAAGTAGTTGGAGTGTAAAGTAAAGAAGCTTAGTCATGTGTTGATAATTGTTGAAGCTGGGTGTTGGATTCACAAGGGTGATTATACTATTTTTTCTACTTTTATATACAGTTGATATTTTCATTTCAAAAAATGCTCTAAGTAGACAAATCAAAGGTGGCTGGTTCTTACCTCTGCTAGAATCTTTTACTACAATGTCAGAGATTTCAAACAGTTTAAGAGGAAGAGGCATCTTCCGATTCACTGCTATGGTCTTTAGGAGGCCAGGAAGAAGGGTAGTGCGCACCACCTACAGGAGAAGACGCAAAATTGCACTGACCAAATAGGAACCAAACAGACATACAATCAAGTACTTCCACCCTTTCCCTCAGGGGATATGTTCCAAGACCTTCCGTGGATGCCTGAAACCACAGGTAGTACTATACCCTATATATACTGTAATTATTCCTATGATCAAGTTTACGGCTTCAGTCTGGCATATCCAAATTGCCAGCATTACTGCTCTTGCACCTTGGGGCCGTTCTTAAGTAAAATAAGGGTTACTTGAATACAAGCACTTTATACTGAGACAGTCAATCTAACAACCTAGTTGGCTACTAAGTGGCAGGTAGTATATATAGCATGGAGATGCTGGACAAAGGGATAATTCAGGTCCCATTTGGGATGGAGAGGGATGGGGTGAGATTTCATCACACTAGTCAGAACAGCTGCAATTTAAAATTTATAAATTGTTTATTTCTGGAATTTTATATTCAGTATTTTCAGATTGGGTTGACCACAGGTTACTGAAACCATGGATAGTGAAACCATAAAGAAGGGGGGAGGGGGCACAAGACGGGCTAATGTACTTGGTTAAAGACAAAACCAAAAGACCCCATGGCTTCACAAGAGACTCTTCTGGAAAATGCAATGCCCAAATATCTAAGTCATTTTTATTTTTCAATTTCAGGTCACTCAAAAAGCTAAAAATGTCCTGACTTGCAAACTTGCAAAATGAAAAATCATAAATTTGATTTAAAAAAAAATGAGAAGAGCCCTGGCCAGGTAGCTCAGTTGGTTAGAGCACCATCGTGATACACCAAGATTGCGGGTTTGATCCCCAGTCAAGGCACCCACAAAAATCAACCAATGAATGCATACGTAAGTAGAACAATAAATCTCTCTCTCTCACTAATCAATACATCTTTAAAAATAAGAAACAAATATGATAACAAATATAATTGCTTGTATCTAGAATTATTTTATTATTAAAATTTTTTAAATTAAATCCTTGAAGATTTCAAATATGTAAAAATTTTCATATTCTGCCTTATTTTATAAACTGAAGTAGATTACAAGAAATATAAATACAGGATAGGTCAAAAGTAGGTTACAGTTGTCTGTACAGAAAATAATACAATTAATAAATAATACAAGAATAAACTCCGTTTCGAGTACAGCTGTAAACCTATTTTTGCCCCACCCTGTATTTAAATAGATTAAATATGAATTAATCAAAAGTTAAAAAACCAGAACCAGGGAAAATGTAAATGCAACTAAAACACCAGGACGATGAGAAAAACAGAACACAAATATGTAGGCACTAAAACAACTAAGCAGCTGCTACGGGCAGACTATGACTAGTTTCCAACTGAGTAGCCAAAGACGTATAAATACACATCCCAGTTCTTTAAAACAAACAAACAAACATAAAACCGCAAAACTTCCCTCCTTTTGTCTGTGAAATAAATTTCTCACTCTGAGATACATGAGATCTGTCAGCTGTCAAAACATCCTGTTACCAGCAGGGTTTTGCGAGCAGGTATGACACCATCTTTGAGAGTCCAGGCTCTGCAGACTCCAACACCATTTCTCTTACCCAGACTCTTGCATGAGCTTCCTCCTTTTTTGTTTTTATCCTCACCCGAGGATATTTTTCCATTTTTTGTTCAGATAGAGTGGAAGGGAGAGAGAGAAAAACATCGAGTGGCTGCCTCCCGCACAGACGGGGACAAACTGTAACCGAGGTACGTGCCCTTGGAGGGAACCGAACCCGGGTCTCTCTGGACCGCAGGCTGACACTCCAACTGCTGAGCCAAACCAGCCAGGGATTGCATGAGCTTCTTTTTTTTTTTTATTTATTTATTTTTTTTTAATGAATTTTTATTTATTTTTTTGTTACAGATATTTTACCTTTTTACCCCATTGGCACCCCCCACCCCACCCCCCCTCCACCCTGTCCCCGGCTTAGTTGTCCATGTCCATTGGTCATGCATACATGCATATAAGTTCTGTGGTTTATCTCTTCCCACCCCCCCACCCCCCATCCCCTCTTCTGAGGGATGTCAGTCTGTGCCCTACTTCCATGTGTCTGGGTCTACTGTATTCCGCATGAGCTTCTTAAACTGGTTTGTCTGCTTCCACTCCTGCCACCTTGTGGTCTATTCTCCACAGACTGATCCTTTAAGACCTAATCAGATCATGGAACTACTCTGCTCAAAAATCTCCAGTAGGTTTCCACCAACTTCTGAGTAAAATCCATGCCTTACATGGGGCCCTATATGAACGTGGCCCTGGCCTCTCTCCAACCTCAATGCCTGCTGTGCCCTTGGCTACCTGTGCTCCAGCCACACAGCTACACACCAAAAGCAGGTTTTCATCTCAGACCTCCACATGTGCTCTTTCCTCTGCCTGCTACATTCTTCCTCTAGTCTCTGCTCAAAGGTCCTTTCCCACAGAGGCCTGCCCTGACCACCCTAGTTAAGACAGCAGGCTCCCCAGATCCTGCACAAGGAAGAGTAAGCCCTGAAAAGGCCTGCTAGATGTGTGTGTGTGTGGGGGGGGGGGATCTTTCCTATCACATTCATTCTACCAACAAGTTGCTATTCGCCTTCAACCTGGTGCTTTCTTAAATATCCTTCATGTTCCCAAAACAAAACAAAAACAAAAACCTGAAAATGATCAAGCTTCTAGCTATAATTAACAATTTATTGAAAATATAGGGGACCAATGGAATGTAGTTAGCAAAATCCTAAATGTGAGAATCCTACAAGGAAAATGACCTAGTTTCTTGGACACAGTGAGTGAGACAGAGAGAGAGAGAGAGAGACACAGACAGACAGACAGACAGAGAAACCTGTAGATTAAAAGAGACTTAAGAAGCACATCAATCAATTTTGATGTACAACTTTATAAGTCTAAAATCAAACTAAAAAATTGAGCCAACTGGTAAAATTTGAACAATGACTGGACACTTGAAGATATTAAGGAATATTACTGCTAATTTGGGGGGATGTGGGAATATTCTGTGATTTTGTTTATAATAATTATAATAAAATTTTACATATTTTAACTAAATAACATTTCTTTTATTCACAATCTGATGTATCTACTATCAGAAAAAAGCCCGAAGTTAAAAATTACGCAGGGAAAAAGAATTGGTTTAGCCCTGGCCAGTCTTGCTCAGTGGTTAGAGCGTCGGCCTGCAATCCAGAGAGACCCGGATTTGGTTCCCACTAGGGGCACGTACCTCAGTTGCAGTTTGTCCCCGGCCCTGATTGGGGTTGTGTGGGTGGCAGCCAGTCAATGTGTCTCTCTCAAATCAATTTTTCTCTCTCTCTTTCTTCCTCCCTCTCTCCCTCTCTCTCTATCTGAAGATGAATGCAAAAGTGTCCTTGGGTGAGGATAAAAAAAAAGAATGGGTTTAGACAATAAAATGAGTTATAAGACCATAAACAACTTTATAACCATAAATAAACATAAACTTGTTAGCAACATTAGTAATGGTAGGACATATGTGTTGCTAAAGTAAGAGTAAAATATAGAATCTGTCAAGTCTAAAAGACAGACTCATTTTCATTTCAAATGTATTTTATACAGAAATATTGATTCTTAAGTGTGCAAAGGCCACAGCTATTTACAGTGGCATTTAATGTGTTTCTGATTTGTCTTCCTTCCACTTATATAGAGGATTAAGACAGAATGTAAACTCTAAAGAACACAACATTACCACATCTTAAGAAAGCTATCAAGGCTGATAAATGAAACTGGAATAAAAAGAAAAATTTGCAATATACTCAAATAAAAATCCATTAAGATTTACTGAAATGTCACCCCATCCAAATGAACTTAAAAATCTCTTTAAAAAAAGAAACCGTGGGCATTTTTAAAAGTAGTAGAGAAGCACCCTAACCGGTTTGGCTCAGCAGTTGAGGAAATGGCCCACGAATGCAGGGTCGCAGGTTCAATTCCGAGTCCGGGGTTGTACCTGGGTTTCAGGTTTGATCCCTGGCATATTACCAATTGTTTTTCAATTAGTCTAATTCTAATCTTCCACATTTATGGGTAGTTCTATAGAAAAAAATTTTCTAATTAGATTTACATGTTTTTAGAACTTTTAGAAATTTTAGAACTACTTTTAGTAAAAGTAGCCCCTTACTTTTACAGAAGTGGAAACTACATCAGCCTGGCCGCTGTGGCTCAGTGGTTGAGCGTCGACCCGTGCACCAAGACGTCACTGGTTTGATACCCGGTCAGGGCACATGCCCAAGTTGTGAGCCCGATCCCCAGTGGGGGCATGCAGGAGGCGGCCAATGTTCTCTCTCATCAATGTTTCTATCTCTCTCTCCCTCTCCCTTCTTCTCGCTCTAAAATATATATATTTTTTAAAGAAACTAAATCAGAGTTCAGAGATATTATAATAGCATTAACTTTATTGAAAACATTTCCTTCCAATCCAAGATTCCTTGATTCTAGAAGACAAGGTGTTTTCTTTTTTTAAAAAATTTTTTTTCTTTTTTCTTTCTTTTTTATCCTCACCCGAGGATATTTTTGCATTTATCTTCAGACAGAGCGGGAGGGAGAGAGGGAGGAAAAGAGAGAGAGAAACATCGATGTGAGAGACACAAATTGTTGCCACCCACATGACTCCAACTGGGGCTGGGTACAAACTGCAACCGAGGTACGTGCCCTTAGCAGGAACTGAACCCAGGCCTCTCTGGTATGCGGGCCGACACTTTAACTGCTGAGCCAAACCAGCCAGGGTTAAATTTTCTTTTCTTTGTTTATTTTTAGAGAGAGAGGAATGGAGAGGGAGAGAGAGATAGCAATATCGATGAGAGAGAACATCGACTGACCGCCTCCTGCATGCCCCCCACTGGAGGTTTGGCCCACAACCTGGGCATGTGCCTTGAGTGGGAATCAAACCGGCAACCTCTTGGTGCACGATCGATACTCAACCACTGAGCCACACCAGCCAAGGTAAGACATGGTTTTCTCTAAAGCCTGAGTTAAAATACAAAATTGCATACACAAGAAAAACAGAATGAGAGCTTATTAGTATGAAAGACAGGTGAAGTCACTAATAACCAGACTGTATTATCACTTTAAAATGCTCTTTAAAGTTACTGTCCTAATCTATAATGTAAATTATTTAACATTTACTGTTAACATAATATCATTCTCATTTAACTGTTCCTAAACTCGACATGAAAGTGCCAATAAACTAGACAATTTTAGTGGCAGACAGGCAGCATAGTCAAGAACTAATGTAACAACTAATTTAAAGGTGAAGGACTTAAGGGAGGTACTGGGAATGGTGACATTTATTACAAATAGATGAAAAAGAGATGTGATCTGAAAACAGTGTTAAAAAATCAACTATAAAATGGAAAGTTCAGACAAGACTGGGCTAGACAGCACATAGCAAGTAAGAACCAGCTATAAAGTTAATAAAAAAAGATTTAAAATTCTTAAGAATTTTTGTCAGTAAAGCAAGAACCAACTATAAATTTATTCAAGAGATTTTTAAAAGCTCTAGGATTTTGCCATGAGGTATAATAATACCTGAAAAAAACTTTCAAAACTCATGTGCTGCCTATTTTTACCCAAATACTTATCTACTGAAAATTCTTACCTGAAATTCAGCTGTTTTAGGATTACTTATATGGACTGCCTTTGTTGCAGAGATATCCAAACCAAGTTTGTCAGCAATATCTTCCTGGGAGCACTAAAAACACATTCAAAATAAATTAATATGGGAAAGCGACGACCAAATTTAATATAAAAAGTATTTAATGCCGCAAGTAAACTTATGGTCTTACAGCAATGTTGATTCTCTATATAAATTAGTGAGTTAAGAATAAACATTTATCAAATAACTCAGGCACACAGCAAATGCAATTTAACGTTAATAGTTCTACAATGCGTTCTGCCATGATACAGAGCTCAAGTAAATTTTCACATGGAGCCCTGGCCGGTTTGGCTCAGCGGTTAGAGCTTTGGCCTGCGGTCCGGAGAGACCTGGGTTTGGTTCCTGCTAAGGGCACGTACCTCGGTTGCAGTTTGTCCCCGGCCCTGGTCGGTTGTGCGGGTGGCAGCCACTCGATGTGTTCCTTTCACATCGATGTTTCTCTCTCTCTCTCTCTGTTCCTCTCTCTCCTTCCCACTCTACCTGAACAAAAAGTGGAAAAATGTCCTTGGGTGAGGATAAAAAAAAAAAAAAAAAAAAAATTTTCACATGGAGGTTGTGGTATAATCTGTATCCAGGCTATTCCTAAACTAGCCTCCCATTTGCCTTTCCAGTCTAATCTATGATTCCCTACCCAGTCCCTACCCTTTTACCTGCCTTATACCATCCTGAACTACTTGCTACCACCCCCCCAAGACTCTACTTAAATGACATCTCTTCCACTTCTTCCATAAAAATATCCCCCATGACTCCAGTCAGAATTTTCTCTCCCTCCTTGGTGTCCGTGGCTTTGTTTTGACTACCACTGTAAGCTCTGCTAAATCCGTACTGACCTGCAGCAGAATGGTAGGACTGAGAGCAAAATTCAAGTGGCCACTTAACTTCTGTGCATATGTAATCGATAAAGCTCCAGGTAATAAATAAACCATTAAGTACTCATCCACCAAAAAAAAAAAAAACCACAGAAAGATGCTTGTCACCTTTAAAAACTGGGATGGTGAGCAAAAATTATGAAAATAAAACTGACTATTAGATATAGCAGATCTAATACCAAGTGAGATGAGATAATGCAAATAAAATGTTTGGCACAAATTAAGTGATAAAAAAATATCAACAATCATAATTAACAAATCATTACTAAAATTAAATAATTATCACATATATTAATGCTAACTTTTTTTTTTTCTTTTTTTATCCTCACCTGAGGATACCTTTCCATACTTTGTTCAGATAGAGTGGGAGGGGGGAGAAAGAGAGAGAGAAACATGGACGTGAAAGGGACACATCGAGTGGCTGCCACCCACACAACCCAACCTAGGCCGGGGACAAACTGAAACCAAGGCACATGCCCTCAGCGGGAACCAAACCCGGTCTCTCTGGACCGCAGGCCGACGCTCCAACCACTGAGCCAAACCGGCCAGGGCATTAATGCTAACTTTTTGAAAAAAAATTTAAAACAACAGAAAACGAATGCACCAGCAGATTACTGCATTATTTTCCAACATTAGGTGATACTGCTCACAGCACTATTCTACAACATGATCCTCAAGGACCAGATGGCTTTTATTTCACTTCGGAAAAAAGCACGGGTGTAGATTTGTTTTACACCAATGCCAGTTCTAACGATTTTCACCATGCTCGGGAAGAATCCTGAAGCCATATCCTGACACAGCAGAAAATGCGCCCTGATCTGCCATGGCTGCAGGAGTGAAATATGGCGGCAAGCATGCTAGAAATAACCATGTTTCCCATCAAGGAGTTTTTATGACAAGATTTAGATATAAGGGGGTCAATTTACATGATACAATCTACTCTCAAATAGAGCTAGTGCCATCTGTATAAAAGAAAAGAAAAAGGCCCCACAGACACATGGCAATGCAGCTAGATATGAGTGACCTTGTACTTTACCACAACGATGGATGATAAAGGACAGAAATAAGAAGCAGTTTAAATCAAGGTATCCTGAACTGGCAGTAGCTAGTATACAGGAAGGACTATTTTTTAAATGTTAATACTTATGTGTTTAAAGTGTTACAAAAAATAACAATTGAAGCCCATAATTTTTACAAATATTATTCTTAAAATAAGGCTAAAGTGGATATTTAGTTTTAAAAGTGAGGTAGTGTAAGAGAAAATATTACAAGTATGCAAACAGCAAAAGCACAGCGATGAGATGTGAATTACACTCGGGACGTCAAGGGCTAGGTTTTGGAGCAGGGTTGCTACTCTTGTGCTAAAGCAGATAAAATGCTCAGACATGCTTAGGTTTGCTTAGAAAGTATGTAACTTCAAAAATACCTTTAATGTTGAAATTCCTACAGGAAAACTGTTACTACAAGTCTAAAACCCTGTAGCACCCACCCCTTTCCCCTGGTGATAAGCGACGTGGTAAAGTGACCTCAGACAGCTGAAGACTGGCACTCGTGGGACAGTCGAGTCCCAGGCCTTGGGTACAGACAGGCCTGGGCTGAATCCCTGGTCCACAGCGACGGGCTTTGTGGAGCGGGACAAGTTACCTAAATCACCTGCCGTGTAGGACCGGAAGGCCTCCTTCACTGGGCTGCACTGCCCGATGGGATGGAGTACATGGAGGCCTGGCACAGGAGGAGCTCTGCAGAGCAGCTACTAGCCAGGGGGCAGGGTATGTGCTCCCGAGGTGCCTGAGGCTACAGTCACGAAATCAAATTCTAAAAAATAATATACATTTCTCAACACTATTAGTTTGTATTTCATTTTACATGAAACCATCAGTGCTCACAACTGTGTACGTACATATGTGTGTACATGTATGAACAACATGGTAGTACAAAGCCAGCATACACAGTATGAGTACAGAAAAGGCAGGGTCTGGTCACGGTTCTTCTGGTATCTGGGCAAACTGTCAGGTACTCATCACCCTCTCTTGGCCTCAGGCTTCCTCACTGATACAGTGGCTGACATACAACAGATGTATCATAAATGTTGTTGAACAAATGATCACTGAATCAGAAAAAAGAAAGTATTGAACTAGATGTGTAAGGTCCCTTCTGATGTCAATATCCTGTGAATTACAAATGCTCAATGAAGTGACTGTGGAGAGGCTGCATCTCCTTACCCACCCTCCTTGTACGGCAGTAATTCCCACTGCTGCCTTCTGTAAATACTCTAAACACTGAGATTCTTAGGGCTGGAATTGAATTGAGGGGAGAAAAAGAAGTAGCTTCTTTAGTTGCCTTTGTTTTGGTTTGGTTTTTACCCTACATGGTTACATGAAACTTACCTGAATACTACAAACTATACAGCAGGCACCACAGAAATGCTCAGCAAGAGAAAAGGAAACTACAAACTACCTACACATTTTATTCTTTTCAAATGGTCAATCTGGTGGGGGAGGGGGACTTCCGTCTGATTTTGTAGTAAAATTCATTTCCTGATTTAGGCCCTTTATGTCAGCTTTTCCACTCAAAGCAAATGCTATGGACGTGTTCCAAGACCAAGAAGTAAGTGTAATGTGGAACGGCCCCCAAGCCCTTAACCAGGGCGGCCTCTGGTGGACACAGACCAAATCAGGACTAAAAACTCTAGCTTAATAAAGCTGCTTATGAAATTCATTGTGAACCATCGACACTCACATGAAACTATAAAATACATTATCATCTGTTATCTAGGACGCTTTTCCAGTCCTTCATATTTTTCTACGACTAAAAAAATCTTCCAAAATTTCTTTACGAGAAAGTTGTACCATCTCAAGTAACAAAATTACTCTTTAAAACCTGGAAATGTTGGCAGTCTAGATGTTACAAGTTCATGAGGAATCCTGGAGTAGATAACTCCGTTTCGACGTTAAGTCAGCTGGGCAGAGAGCGTGTACACGTACCAGAGCAAATGTAAGTGCTTCGGTGAAGCCGGCAGCTGCCATGTCATGTCTTAGAAGTTCCGTGAGCTTATTAAGGGGAAACTGGGGGAGAAAAGTTTACTTGAATTCACCGCAAAAAAATTTTGTATTTTTAAGAGATTTATACAAAACACGTCATTAAAAGGAAGCCACCCTTCCATCCTTATCAATATACTGCTAGTACCATCCCTTACTCACCTCCTCACCACCCCAACACTCCTACAGAGGTACAATACCCCACTGTCCCTCCCCACACACAACTTCTGTCTCCAGGCCCAGGCTAAGCAAATGAATCTCCCAGTCAGAGATTCGACAAGGGCCCCATAGGCAAAACCTGTCTTTCTTCAAAGAACTAATCGTTACAGGTTTTCAACTTACTCTAATCAACCAGGCATCTGTTTTGTATCCTCTCCAAAGCAAAAGCCTCAGAGCAGGGCATGCCCAAATTCCTATGTTCTGTTTCTCAAAGCCTTCCTGACATTCAACAATCAGTTTCTAACAATAAGGAGTGTTTATTTAAGGGTGCAATCTTACTTGATTAGCTATGGTGTATGTTTTTGGGAGAGCCATCTGAATGTTGTTATATCCATAGGCAATAGCTGCATCTTCTATAATATCACATGCATGGATAACGTCTGCTCTGGTCGGAGGGATTTCAATCTCAATCTGATTCCCATCGCCAATGACTTCTGACTTTAAGTACATCCTGGTCAGAAGCTTAGCAAGATTTTCCGGAGTTTCTCTGAAATAGGAATGTACAGACCATAAATTTCACTGGATTACTTAAAACATGTTTCTGTTTTATTTTAAAACATGCTACTACCTGAAATAGTAACCTTTCTTTCTGAATCCTAACATATGTCCCATCATCACATGACTTATTCTCAAGGGCTATTAAATCCTCTCCAAGCATTCTTTCAGGAAAAAGTAGTGCTATGTACACTTCATTCTGGAATTCTCTCCAATCAAAAATAAATAAATGAAGTCTTCAGAACATACCTGATTCCAACCTTTTTGTTAATTAGGTCAGCTCTCACCATCTCCTTTCGGTAAGCCAGTTCCTTAAAAGAAAAAGTGTTTGAGAAGCTTAAATCACCATGGTCAGATGCAGCCTTAGCCATTTTCTATTTCAACTTGCTGTTGTCAGTTTCATTTCCCTCCCAAGAAACTGTCATCAGAGCCACATGTTGAAAATACCCGGGGTTTTAAAACATTATTATAGGGGAATAAATCTGCTACATCATATTCATATATGGACATTCTACTGCTGGATAACTGGAACTGCTCACAAATAACAAAATGCCAAATTTTTTCTCTTTTATATGGTCAATCACCATTTTCTTCAATAAAACAGCAGTGCATTTATCATTTCTAAAATGCTAATGAATCCTGCTGAAGATTTTCAGTCTCATCTTAGGCAAGCAGGTGTTTATGACAAAGAATAATTCATGTACCATTATGTACTCTCTTCATACGAAGTCCAAGAGTGTTATGAAGACATTCCGTGCCTATCATTTTTCTGGGCAAGGAAATGCAGCCATGCCCGTGCTGGCCATGAGGTGCTCCAGGAGCCAGTACTGCTGGAGCAGCTCATGAACTGGTACTCAGTCACCTTCACGCTGTACATAACTCTACCATGCTAGGCAGGAACAATCACACATAAAATCCAGGCTTTACTGACCTTTGGAAACATATCTATGAATATTTCTTATTGCTAGATTACTCTCAAGAGTATTAATTAGCAAAAAGGTCATACATTTTAAAACCTGTTTGAACTCAGGTAAAGACAATAAGCCAGAGCCTTGCTATTAAAAATGCAGTTGTCAGGTAGAAGCATCCTCATCAAGTCACTTCTTAAGTACTTACTGGAAAGGTGTATGATTTTCCATTAGGAAAAACCACCTCAGCTGCTTCAACCCTGAAAAAAAAAATTAAATGAAATACTTAAGAAAAAATGGGTCCATCATTTCTAGAAATGTGTATGGTTAACAAATCTTCACTTAGTCTACAACTTTAGCCTCCACATATTCAAACTAGTCACGTTCCAACACTGCTGTTTGGATGAATCCTCCTAAATACCACCTTACTCTGCTAGTCCACCTCCTATGGCTCCAGGTCTCCTCAGGCAGTGCCCACACAATACGTCTGTCTCCCAGTCCTGCGGAGCTCACACCCTCTGTGGCCTCCTTGCCAACACTGACACGCAGAGTCCAGGCTTTACCGAGGTGGTGTGTTACACAACAAAAACTGACTGGCACAGCCGCTAAAATCAGTTTTTAAAAAAAGCGACTGAGCCCTGGCCAGTTTGGCTCAGCAGTTAGAGCATCGGCCTGCGGTCTGGAGAGGCCCGGGTTCGGTTCCCGCTAAGGGCACGTACTTCGGTTGCAGTTTGTCCCCGGCCCTGGTTGGTCGTGCGGGTGGCAGCCACTCGATGTGTCCCTTCACGTCGATGTTTCTCTCTCTCTCTCCCTCCCACTCTATCTGTACAAAAAATGGAAAAATATCCTCGGGTGAGGATAAAAAATAAATAAAAATAAAAAAAAATAAAAAAAAAAAAAAAGCGACTGATACTGCTCATACAATTTCAGTCCTACTTTCTAGTTATACATTTTGAATTATAATTACTATTCTAGAATAAACTATGATGCTGGTACACGGTAAGAGCCAAATAGGTATATTAAATAAAATTTTTAATTAAAAAGAGCTTTGAAAAACTACAGTAACCTTACTGATATATATGTACAGGATATAGGATTTGCTGATATATATACTTCTCTCCCTTTGTTTGGCTGTTCCTCTTGCTGTTCCTTCACGTTTACATTCTCAAACCCAATGATCCTTAAATATGATCCAAACCCAATGACAGCTTAAATGTCACTGCTTCCACAAGGCCTGCCCAGACGGCCTCAGCCAGGAGTAACGTGAACTTACACACAACCAAACATTACTGAAACTTTTCCAAGTACTTATCACTTTTTACTTTATACATTATTTATGCATATGTCTTAGTTCCCAAAGAGAGTAGATGTTCTATTTACAGGAACACATTTTTCATCTTTATATTTAGCACAAGGCCTTCATGCTTTGCCTTCAAAACAATAGGCTACTGATAAAGGTGCCAATTGAACTTACGTAAACTGATTCTCACAATATTCACTGAACGTGGTGGCAATAATATCAAGAACTATTTTTGCCTGCAAAGGAAAAAGACAAATGTTATGATAATCTATAAATATACATATTCTCTCTTCATTCAGATGGAAATAATTTAACATTTAATATAATTTAGTTCCCAAACATCTAAAAATGGTCCTTTACATTGTAAAAAGGGGAATGGAATAAACACTTATGAGCTAAATGAGGCCTGTCCTTATCTTTGATTGTTCAGCATTCATGCGGTGTCCTGGAAGTTACAATCAATGACTGAGATTTATTTCCCTGGCCTCCTCCATTGGAGTTACCACGTTTTGAGAAACAAATGGTTAACTACGGATCAACACCCTAAGTCTCTGCAGCCAGATGCGTGATTCCTATCCCAACCACTGACTAGCAGTCTAACTCTGGGTAAGTTACTTACATGTCTTTGTACCTTAGTTTCTTCATCTGTAAAATGGAGATAATATAAGTCCCTACCTCATTTGGTTATATATACATATACATATACGAATACATATATATGTGTGTGTGTGTATTATAAACAGAGAGCAATGCCCGCTATAGTGAAGGCCACAGAGATTTGTTAACATTTTTCAATTGAACAAAAAATATGCTTAGAAAAAAATACAGTAACCTTATTGGGATATATGCTTCACTTTTATATACACTTTACTCTCATATACAAGCTTCAAGAAAGAGATGCGAGGTCTGCTAATGTATGAATTTAAAAATATGTTTTTAATTTGAATATTACTATAACAAGATTTCTCAAGGCAAATATGGTACATAAAAGTTATAAATGAAATACCTAACAATGGTCTCCAATTCTATAAATATATGTGAACACCACTTACCGGCCTTCTACACTCCAGCCTTCTCCTGCCATTCAAGTTTACCTTTCTTAAGCTGCTTAACTGCCATCTCACTCTGCCTTACTCAACATGAATAAAGAAATCATATGCCACAGAAAAACTTTCCCAGTAATCCAACTCAAAATACGTAGTGGCTGAAAGTGAGAGCACAACTAGTATTCTACATATTCTGGATATCACTGTGCACATAAACCCTTTATTAATTGCTTTATAGCCAGTTCATTTTAAAGAATTTTTTTTACCAAATACACAAAGGTACCAAATTACTCAACATTTCAATTAACAGATCACATTACAATACTTATCCCATTCTGTTTTATAGCTAGATAAGTGGCTAATTCTCCCACGATTACAAGTTCCTTGAAGTCAAGGAACATGCAACTTACTACTAAACTCTTGGCACTGAGAAGACAGTAGGTACTCACTAAACATGTGTTGATTGAATAAAAGCACCATAACCAAAATATAGAATATCTATCTATATTTTTATAATTTTCTTAAATATGTTCCCACCTTCAAAATAAACATATTTTAGCCCTGGCCAGTTTGGCTCAGCGGTTAGAGCGTCGGCCTGCGGTCCGGAGAGACCCGGGTTCGGTTCCCGCTAAGGGCACGTACTTCGGTTGCAGTTTGTCCCCGGCCCTGGTTGGTCGTGCGGGTGGCAGCTACTCGATGTGTCCCTTCACGTCGATGTCTCTCTCTCTCTCTCCCTCCCACTCTATCTGTACAAAAATAAATAAATAAATAAAACAAAATAAACATATTTTAGCCCTGGCCAGTTTGGCTCAGCGGTTAAAGCATTGGCCTGAGGTCCAGAGAGTCAGGGATTCGGTTCCCGCTAAGGGCACGTACCTTGGTTGCAGTTTGTCTCCGGCCCTGGTTGGGTTGTGCGGGTGGCAACCACTCGATGTGTCCCTTTCACGTCGATGTTTCTCTCTCTCTTTCTCCCTCCCACTCTATCTGAACAAAAGATGGAAAAATGTCCTTGGATGAGGATAAAAATAAACAAACAAACAAACAAACATATTTTAAAATTTAACCATATAGTCTTGGCCCAGAAGTAAAATCTATCCTAACAGTATAAAAATAGAAAAATGTTTTATTTACCTTAGTAAAGTCAGTTCCTGTGCATTCGATAAATACATTTCTAGTATTTACTGTTATTTTGGAATGATTTCCTACAATGAACACAAAACAATCAGTTTCAGAAACAAGTGCATTAAAAAGCTCTACAAAACAGAAACTACATTTTAATTTAGAACACAATATAAACTAACATCTCAAAGTAAGGGGATATACATTTTTTTTAAGCCCTATTGCAGAATAAAGACAAGATAATAACAGGCCTTACTGAGTGCATTCAATGTGTCAAGAGCTATGCCAAGCACTTAACAGAAGCTGTCTTACCTCATCTACACCACAACCCTATGAAAGAGTTGCAGAGAGACAACTAAGATTCAGATAACAAACTGATTGACCATGATCACAAGGTAACAAGGATAAGATTTAGGTCTGAATCTGGCTAACTCCAAAGTCCAAATTCCCAAGATCTTGAGAAGGCAAAGACTCTCCTACCTATGGCTTCAACATCACCAAATTTTGTAATTACATTCAAGTTGCCTTATCAAAAAGCCTTCAGAAAAAAGTTAAAAGGGCAAAATTCAGTTTAAAAGTTTTAATTTATAAAACAAAGCAGAATTTTAATGTGAGTTTAACCAAGTGAACTACCTGCTAAACCCAAAACATCAATACCCTTTGAAGGAATTTAACAGAATCCAGACACTGGTATCAGAAAATATTTATAAACTTGGATATTTATACATTTATAAATTGTATAAAAATCCCAAGTAAGCTCAGCTGGTATGGACTAGTGGTTGAGCGTCGACCCATGCACCAAGAGGTTGCTGGTTCGATTACCGGTCAGGGCACATGCCCAGGTTGTGGGCCAAATCCCCAGTGGGGGTGTGCAGGAGGTGGCCAATGGATATTCTCTCTCATCAAGGTTTCCATCTCTCTCCCTCACTCTTCCTCTCTCTAAAATCAATAAACAAAACACTTAAAAAAAAAAATTCCAAGTAAAATGTTATTGAATAAATGAATGGAAAGAACTATTACAAAAAATTTACAAAGACCTGAGATTCTCAGATTTACTTAATTTGATTTGATTCATCCACCTCTATTGAGAACTCTACAGACATGCTGAAGAAGAAGAAGAGACAGTAAAAAGCTATGATGCTTAAGAAATAGCTCACCATTGATGATTGGAGGCATTGAAAGGACGACACCATTGCTATCATAGATAACTGGGTACAGAGGTTTATTTTCAATGATGTGTAAGTAATGTTTAAGGTGGTTGTCAGTCTGAAAAAAATTAAGTCAAACAAAATTAGTTTTTTTATTTCTATCAATGTAGTTTACATACCTACCTAGTATAAAAAGGTGAAAAGTCAGAACAACAATAAAACTGCCACAAATGACAGAAAGTTCTCAGTTGGTAAGACTTTCTAACATAAATCGGTATCTCCACATCCTCTCACGGCCTCATCTCCCACTTGAAAGAGATGAGAACACAAATGAGCCGTTTTTCAATGGTGAAAACAAATCTGCACTGGTAAGACTCAGCTATCTCAAATAAAACACACACTGTCACAAAACAATTTAATTTGACTTGGGGTGCTGAATACACAATACAGTGTACAGATATTGTGCTACGGAATTGTGCACCTGAACCTGTATAATTTTGTTAACCAGTATCACCCCAATAAATTCAATAAAAAAGAAACAAACAAAAAACTTCTTAAATAAACTGAAAGTAATCACTAGCAAATCAGGCCAAGCTGCCTTTTTCTAATGGTACCCACTACCTCTTGATTATGCAAAGTTTAAAATGACTACTGAATTCATTGTCACTGCTGGACGCTAAAATCATGATAATGGGCAGATATTTTGTAATAGTGTTTCTGCCGCGCGCGCACTCACACACACACACACACACACACACACACACACACACACAAAATCAGCCAAATCTTATTGTTCCTTATACTTACATGAAGTTTTAATTATACCCAAATATGAATATTACAATGTAGTATGGTCTACTTCAACAGTTCTCAATCCTAGCTGTACATTAAAATCATCTAAGAGGCTAAAAATGTAATAATAAAACAAAACTACACCCAGTACCCCTCCCCTAGATCAAATAATCATTATCTCTGTGTTGGAGCCCAGATACTGCTATTTTTTTTTTAAGCATTCATTACATTTTTCTAATTCCAAGACTTGACTTTGAAGGAATTTCAAGATTTATGCAGAACTACTGTATAATATAAAGGAACATTTACCTTGTATATGTTCATCAGTTCACAGGCTGTATACTCCTTTGTCTTATTTAGAGGTTTGAATTTGATATCTGAAGGTCGCTTCGCAGTAAAAGTAAATGGGCCTGACAAAGTGTCCAAATCATGGGTACCGATAGCAACCAATGCTCTTTTCCTAAACGATGAAAGAGAGGGAAAGAGAAAGCGAGAAAGAGATAGAAAAAGAGATTTGAATATTCCCAAGCAGCAATTCTAAAGATAACACAGACTGTTTTTAAAAGTTATTTTTAGACACTTCTCTAAAATTGCCTGTTGCTTTATGGCAACTTTAGAGGAGTACAAAGAACAAATTCTCCCAACTGTTAGAAGTAATGAGAAATTATAAAACTACTAACAAAACATTATTTCAGGCCCTGGCCAGTTTGGCTCAGCGGTTAGAGCGTCAGCCTGCGGTCCGGAGAGACCCGGGTTCGGTTCCCGCTAAGGGCATGTGCTTCGGTTGCAGTTTGTCCCCGGTCCTGGTTGGTCGTGCGGGTGGCAGCCACTCGATGTGTCCCTTCACGTCGATGTTTCTCACTCTCTCTCCCTTCCTCTCTCTCCCTCCCACTCTATCTGTACAAAAAATGGAAAAAATATCCTCGGGTGAGGATAAAAAAATAAAAAAATAAAAAAAAAAACACATTATTTCAGTAGCTGAAGTAAACTCCCTGCCATTATGTTTCCCAAGTCCTATGTTATAGAACCTTCTCCAAGTCAACATTCCTTCTGTCTTCTTTTAACCTTATTTCCTCTCAATGTCCTGAAGTGAACAAAAATGTTTTATTAAATTAGAATAAACTAACAAATTGTTGTATTTTTAAAAAATGTTTGTATTGATTTTTTAGAAAGAGAGAAACATCGATGAGAGAGAGAAGCATCAACAGCGATCAGCTGCCTGCTGCATGTTCCCTACCGGGGATCAAACCCACAACCAGGGCATGTGCCCTGACCAGAAATCGAACCACTGACCTGTTGGTGCATAGGCTGATGCTCAACCACTGAGCCACACCAGCCGGGCATGCATTTTTTGTACTTTTCTGTATTTTCCTAAATGTTCTGTCACATTGCTATATTATATTAATAATGGAGAAAATTTAAGAACTGTGAATTTACATTTATAGTTTAATGTAAGGAAAGTTCAAAGGTCATTAATTTCATTTGTCCTACAGTTTATCTGAAAAGGACTTAAGGAAATTTTAGGAACTTACAATAAGTTACAAATTAGAAGAGAAAGAAACAGAAGTAGAGATAGAAACAGATCCAGGAACGATGTCAGTACTAAATTAGAATCAATGGGCCCATGGTCTTAGCAAGGAGGGTCACAAATCTGGCTCTAAGCTTTCTAACAGACAATTCAAAGAAGGAAACTTGGTCAGAATTTGTGGTGTTCTAAAGATTTCTTAAAATAGGTTTTAAATGTATATGCATATATTTGAATACGTATGCATAACCACATATATACACCAAACAGAAAAAATGCATTAGTAATCAAAGATTTTATTAAAGTCTATGTTACATTAACTATGAAATAGTTTTTAAAATTTGTATAGCCCTGGCCAGTTTGGCTCAGCGGTTAGAGCGTCCGCCTGCGGTCTGGAGAGACCCGGGTTCGGTTCCCGCTAGGGGCATATACCTCGGTTGCAGTTTGTCCCCGGCCCTGGTTGGTCGTGCGGGTGGCGGCCACTCGATGTGTCCCTTTCACATCGATGTTTCCCTCTCTCTCTCTTCCTCTCTCTCCCTCCCACTCTGTCTGTACAAAAAGTGGAAAAGTGTCCTCGGATGAGGATAAAAAAATAAATAAATAAATAAATAAAATAAAATTTGTATAAAACCAATTTTGGTCAACCTCTAAGACCAGTGACTAAAACTTGAATAAATATGGTTGAAATGAACAGAACTGTTGACAAGCAAAAAGGAAGTAATACTTGACTCAATGAGTTAAATGCTTATGACAGATAACTCCAAAACTATCACAGGTTGAAATATATATGGTTCAATAAGTTTAGATAAATTAACAATTAACAAACCCATGGGTAAGAAAGTGTGCTTTTTTTTTAGCATTAATATTGGTCTCTTAATCCTAAAACAGGACCTCAAAATATTACTAAATTTTAACTTCAAACCAATCACAAAAAAATACATTTCAGATGAATCAAAGAGCTACCCATTTTGAAAAACAAAAGACAAACATACACACAAAAAACAAACCATAAAAAGTGTTCAAGGACAATATAAAAGAACAAAGCTTAAACACTGAAAATTTATTAAACATTTTGGTCAAAATAGTAATATATACAATCCTAGTTTACTAGAACTGTGTTCTTAAGAACTGGGGTTGACTAATGTTTAATCAACTCTGTTCCACTTCTCAGATTTGTAATCCGTGTCAAAACCAATATACAGTATAAGCATTATTTTAAAATTAAAATAAATATACTTTTAGATTTTCAATTTCTAACTTATTATGAACTTCAGTGGCATTGTTACCATTAATTCAGGGTAACAAATGACAAGCACTTGTATATTTCTATCATTAGGAATCAAAACACACTTTATTTCCAGAGCGGAGCCTGAGCCCAAGGACACCCCTTCTTAAGTTAGCCACAAAACATAAAATTCATACAGAAGACTGATAAATGTGAGTATACCCAAATTGAAAACCTTATATACCCAAAAGAGCCCCCAAAGTCAACACACACTGATAGAAGTTTATAAAATAGGTACAGAAAAGAGATTACTATTCCTAACATGTATGAATGTCAAGATCTCACCACACCGGCAGAAACTTCAGGGGCTGCTGTGAAAAGCAGCAGGGGGCTGAGAGGAGGCAGCACACCCAGCTGCTACCCCTGCCGAGCTCTGGTCCAGCCGCGCACTTCCAGCCGAGTCTAGCTAAGTATTCAAGAGCCCTTGCCTACAAGAGCAACCCCACTCCTCCGGCTAACGGGACAAAATCAAGAGCATCTTCCATAACACTCTTCTGTATGGAGCCACAAAGCAGTGGACATGAGAAGAAACGGGGAAATGTGACTCATACTTCAAACAAAACCCGTCCACAAAACCCAGCGCTAAAATGACCCAGACTTTCAAATCACCACACAGATTTTAAAGCTCTTAGTACAAAAAATGTGCAAGAATTATGGGGAAAATATTCACATAATGAACAGATGAGGAAATATCAGCAGAAAAAGAGAAACTTCAATAAAGGAACCAAATGAATTCTACAGATAAAAAGTAAAATAACTAAAGTTAAAAAATTCACTGAACATTTCCAGTCCAGAATGAGTAACAAAGACTAGATTTACTCTTCTGCCTGAAACAACCATAAAAAGGCAAAATATATGAAATAACAGTTCTCATGGCTGGCACTGAACGGAGGAGAGCAATTCCTGAGACAGAAAACAAGGTGAGCCCCACGAATGCCTGGGGGCTTTCCAAGCTGCAGGGCAGGAAAGGGGGACCGGGTTGGAGCCCAGTGACCCCGACTCGAAGAGACATAGCTGAGAATCTAGAGACCAAGACGGCCAGAGTTCAGTGGACAGAGTACTGGGAGAGGAGATCTGCGGAGGGTCCCCCCAAGTATTCACCTGAGTACTGAGTGCACGCACGTGAGAAGCCACCTGAGGCCGCGGAAAGACTCGTCCACGAGAACTGGAGGAAACAGTGCTCACATAAACAAAACCACACTACACGTGTGGCAATGGATACAGAAGGCAGAAGGGTCCTGCCTCAGTAAAAGCAACTAATTAGCTCTACACAGATCAGTGAAAAACACAGGGAAAAAACAGCAGAGAAAAGTCAGTGAAACCAAGTCTTAGCCACACTGATCAAGGGAAAGAAGACACAATGCAAAAGGTGGTATCACTACAGATATAAAAGGATAAGGGTACATTACAAACAACTAAATGCCAATGAATTTGATAAATTAAATGAATATATTCCTTAAAAATGCACATTTCCAAAGCTCACTCAAGAGATTAATCAGGATTTACTGACAGATAAGGACTCTTGCACACAAGAGTATTAGGATGTGATTTATTCCTCCTCTTCGAAAAAGCTCATGATTTCCAAATATACCACATAAAAGTTTGGAGTTAAATTAAGTGAGGAAATGCCTTCTGATTTAGACAAAAAATAGTCTTAAAGAAAAATAGAGTCTTCAAATAAAGTAAATCCAGAACAGATAATCTGGCTCAAGCAGATTTATTAGCTATACCTGTACTTGTCAAAAATCTTATATCTTGTTCTTTATTCTGAAATTATATTTAAATTCTTATTTTTTGCTTAACTGTTAACCGGGGAATTCCCTTTTTGCTGTATGCAACATTTGATGTATTTATACGTCCCGCCGGGTTAACAGGTTAACAATGACATGCTAGCAAGCTAAAAGACTCTTCTTATAAAAGAACTAGGATAGAATGTTATTTAGAATTTGAAACAAACAAAAAACATTTTTCTACCATGTAAGTAAAGGTGTTTCAGAGAACACAGACCCTATGAGCTTAATCACAGAAGTTATTTTTACTTGTCAATATTTCTCTTTGGTCTGTGGGCTGACACTCTAACCACTGAGCAACTGGCCAAGGCATTGTCAATATTTCTCACCCCGGAAGAAAACATCCAGGGTCTCCCTCCCCTCAATCCCTTCCCTAGCCCATCACTTATGCCCAAGCCTCTTCCAGTCTCCACGGTTTACCAAACTGCAATTATAAAAAAATTAAAATTCTATTTCCTACTTTTATTCAAGATATATATATTAATCATACCTTTGATCAGAGTGAGATAACTTATGTTAATATACTTCAGAATCAACACAAACATATTTGATATATATTAGCTAAAGCCTGGTGTCTGATATCATCAGTAAATATATAATTTCCATTAGATTCTTGAAATACTGAAATTATTTCAAGGACTCCCATCGTTATGTTCTTTCACTTCAGGAGTTCAGAAATGATTTAGGTTTGAAGATCACTATACTGAAGTGTGTGGGAAATGATGTATAGCAATGTCAAAGATACAATAAGAAAACTGGTCATTTAAAAGTCCCCAGTTTTATATGACAATTTATAATTATACTTACTCAAAAAGTAAATTCAAGCCAAAAATTTTCCATTTTAAAAATGACAGGTCATACTTCAAATTACCACTGTTTAATATTTAGTAGTGCAATCCACTACTGATGATTTGAACCAAAACACAAAAAACAAGAAAAATCTCTAGGATTAGATAATTCTCTATACAGTAATCAAAATATATCTTATTTCTCCACACATACACTATAAACAGTCATAATTAGCTGTCTGGTAAAGCAAATTTAAACTCTTATTCCTCTAACACTTTATTACTTTAGAAATGCTTTGAAAAAATCTGTATACGAGGAAGGGAGGAAAATAGGAAAGGGAGGGAGAAGGGGAGAGAGGAAGAGTAAGGAGAGAAAGGGATAGAAGGGAAGGGAAGGAGAAAAAAGATGCAACCACAAACCTGCAAATGTTCTGATGCAGCTTCTCCTGAAGTTCAATGAAGCTGTCATAGCGATCTTTAGTAAACTTGATATTTCGGAGAACTGCTGCTACGGCGTAAGGGCGTATTTTAGCTGTCTGAAATTCATCATATCATTAGATGTCAGTATTAAGGTTTTTTTTCATAATAACATTGTGTAATAGCAAGTTAGTGGCACTCTTGACATTGTCACACATCTTCATTCAAACAAGTATATATTCATTTATTCAACCAACAAATAATAAAACATACAGGTGACAAGAGACAAAGTCCCTGTCCTTGTGGAATTTCCATTCAGTAAGAATTCTAAAAATTTACTAAATAATTGAGATAAAAATTAATCTTAAGTAGTCTACTCATAGTTGATATTTTTTAAACAAATTATCCTCCCCTGAAAGTTTATTTTTAATTGCATCACTATAGCACAATTTAAACAATTTGATCTCAAATATATTTAAAATAAACATTTGGATGTTATTTTCCAAAATTATTCATAGAAAACAAATGCTTTGCTCCCTTTCATTTCTTGATACAAACAAACTGACAGTTTTTGAAAGCTAGAGGTTAAATATATTAGCAAATGATCAAAGAAATTATATTTATAGATATGTACACAAAAGAGACTATTTTCAAAGGAAAATAAGATTTAATCCTTATTACCTCTTCTGTGATGATCAATTTCTGGATTTCTCCATTCGGCATTACCCGTTTATATACTGGAGCCTTTATCCTAAAATAATATTAAAATAAATTTGCTCATTATTAACTGAAACATGTGTTAAATTAATCATATTCTCTGCTGTGTAAACAAAATGAACAGAACTAGGACAATGGGATGAAGTTACAGCAAATCAAATTTGAACTGAATATTAAAAACAAAAAAATACAAACTAAAAACCTTTCTAACATTTAAAGTTCTCCATAAAACCATGAACCACTTTCAGTGTTAAAATATGCTCCCAAAATGAAATGACTCAACATTCAGACAGTTTCAAATGGCTACAATCTACCTGAATCTCACCCGCCAATCATCCCTCTAAGCGACCTAGATCTGTGTACTTGTCCAACAAAGTTTTTTCTAGAAACTCAGAGTTGCTGATAATGAGAAGCAAAGAAAAAATATCCAATTTGACAAAGTATTTAATGAATATGTACCTTACCTTTCTTTAAAGACTTGAAGTCCTCGAACCAATCCCTCCAGACACAGGAGATCATATCTATTGGCAGGGACATCAATTTTGTAAAGAATGACAGTAGATGCCCCCTCTGCCTTTTCAATACCTTGTTCTTTACTTATAATTTCCTTCTCAGAAGTCTAAAACAAGCACAAAAAATAAAATAAAATAAATCTAAATTCTTTTGAAAAAATAGTTGTCAGCACCATAAAGCAGTAACTACATTACACATATTCTTTTCTGCAACAAACATAGATTTACTATATCTGCAACAAACATAAAAATGGCTTTTACTGAGTTCACACATCTAGCATCCTCATTCATATTCTCTCTCTCTCAAATTGAAAAAAAGGAGGCCCAAGGAGACTAATATATGAGGCCCAGACAGGCAATGTAATTGTTTATGGTTACACAGCTAGTGATCTACTACTCAAATTTTCTGATATCCAGTCCAGTGCTCTTAGATGTCATACAGCCTCAAACCTAATTTTAAGGTCTAGTGAAATTATTAATAGCAACTTAATATAAACCACAGAAATCTCAGCCAACTTCTCAAGCATACAGATGCTTATTAATATATAAAAAAGTCTTCCTATAATATTAATAAAGAAGCAGCAGGAAAAACAAGGCAAGACAATGAACATTTTTGTCAGCCTCACGATTTTGTAACTTTATAGTGTTATAAAACATGATTAGATCAATAAGATAAAAGTCTTAAAAATTAACACTATATTTTCTTTTTAGATATAAGTATGTCTTTAATACATAATCCATATTAATATATTTTATAAATAAAGCTATTTTTTAAATAGTTTAATCATTATATAATCAAAAAACTAGGAAAATGCTTCATAATAATTTCTAAAAGCCATTCTTCAAAAATAGATAATTTTACAAGATCAATGTACAGTGTATACAGTAATGAATTAGGAATGAACTAGTGCTGGGTAAATACACATGGAAGAAGGTGGGGCTGGGAACAGACAAGTGAAGGAGAGAAGCTGGAGGCCAAGGAGACAGCAACATTTCCACTACTTCCCAGGCCCCTTTCTGTGTGGTTAATCTGCAAAAAGGCACCTCACTGCTGGGGAGCTCACTCTGACTCTATGGTTACCTGAGATGGTCTACCCATCACCACAGCACTAGTCAGATAACTTGAGGTGACTGCACAAAGAATAAGGCATGAACCTGTTTTGAGATTTTAAGCAAAGCAACACTCTCAGAACCAAAGCTTGGCCTCTTAACACAGAGAACACAGGAATCACCATAGCACACAAGTGTTCTAACCATAATGTAACAAAGATAAACTATAGCGAACCTTTGAAAAAAGGGCTTAAACACAGAATATTAGAAAATAAATATCCAATACATACGATTTCATCAAGTTCCAGGCCAAATTCAAAACATAGTTCATCAAATTCTTCGTCAGCTAGTGGGAAAAAAGGATATTGCTTTAATCTGATCAGCATAAATGAAAAGTATATAAACTGCATTTTCTTATTGCCTTACATGAAGCACGCTAAGTATCAGCCATCAGATAACACCTTTTAACAACAAAAAAGCTTGAACAAAAAATTTAAAAATAAGAACACACAAAACTATTAAAGGACTGATTCATCTAACTTCAACTACAGAAACAGGTTTCCTGAATTGAGCAGTTTATATTTACTTAGAAGAAAAACAACATCGACATGAAAGGGACACATCGAGTGGTTGCCACCCGCACAACCTGACCAGGGCCGCACAACCTGACCAGGGCCAGGGACAAACTGCAACCGAGGCACGTGCCCCCAGCAGGAACCGAACCTCTCTGGAACACAGGCCGACTCTCTAACCGCTGAGCCAAACCACTGAGCCAAACCAGCCAGGGCAGGGCTGCATTTTAAAGACCCGTGGCAGGGTGGTGGATGAACTGGAGTAGGGATTCTACTGCAACAGTACAGGGGAGACAGTGAGGACTTGATTACAGCAGCAGTATGAGGAAGAAGGAAGAGGGTGAATCTGTAAGGCAGAGTCTGTAAGTCTCAATGACTGAATGGAAGGTGGTAACAGTGAGTGAGCAAGAGTCCAGATGACTCCCAGGTCTCTGGTTGGGGGTATCATTAACTAGGGCAAGAAAATACCAGAAGTCTCCAGTGATCCCTACTACTTGATACTCATACCCTTGTGCGAACTGAGATCTGAAGCAATCACAAGAGTGAACATGGGAAGACATTCCCCAGCCCAGCCAAGCCTGAAATGATGGCAGGCCCAGCTGACAGCTTAACTACAGCTTGGTGGGAGACCCCCAGAGCCATAACCACCCAGCTAAGCAGCTCCTCAATGCCTGTTTCTCAAAAACTGAGAAAAGTAATCAGTTATAAAGCAACTGCTTTCTTTTACCTACATAAATAAGTAAGGATACCTCAGAGGGTGAGCCATGAAAAGTGATCCCAGGCCTTGAGACCTAATCAAGAATATTCAACACTTGCCAGCTCAACTTCAGGACTGCCATGATGGACCACTGACTCCCATGTATCTCCCATTTCCCCTCCTTTTGAAGAGGAATGTCTGGAGTAGTTATTCCATGCCTGTCTCCTCCCCCCCCCCCCCACTATTAGGGGTAGGTAAGGCAGATAGCCTGTCCCTTTAGTCTCTAAGGTCAAGAGTCACTATACTCAAGCAACTGTACTTAAGAAACTACATCCCAAGAGCCTCATCCACACCTGGACCTGATTTAGATGAGATTCTGGGTTTTGAGCTGCTTCATTACTAGGGACCTTGAGAGGGGTGAGCTTATTCTGAATGTCATTGGAACATGAATCATCGGGGGCCAGAGGGCAGACAGTGGTAGTAAGCATCCCACAACATATGCCTCCTGATGTTCACACCCTCCCTCACTGTGCCAGAATTGGTCTGTGTAACCTACAGAATATGGCCAAGTTGGTATATCACTTCTAAGATGTTAGTGAAAACTGGCTTCCTCCTGAGCACTCTCTCAATTGCCTGCTCCCTCGGACTTCTTACTCTGGGACAAACAAGCCACCATGCTGCAAGTTGTCCCAGACAGAGGTCAAGGTGGGAAAAACTGAAGTCTCTAGCCAAATTTCAGCAGTGAACTGAGGCCTGCCAACAACCACTTGAGTGAACTTAAGAGTTAGATTCTCCAGCCCCTACTAGGCCTTTAGATGACTATAGACCTGGCAATTTTACTACAACCTGGTGAGAGATCCAGGGCCTGAACCACCCAGACAAGACACTCCCAAGCCCTTGACCCTCAGAAACCATGTAAGTAATCAAATGATTATAATTTTAAGCTACTAAATTTGGGGGCAATTTATTATGCAGTAACAGATAACTAAATGGTCACTGACCAAATTATAGAGAACCATTACAATATATTGAATCCAAAAAATATATAAAATTTAATAAATTTTAAGTGAGGCATGTTTATTCCTGTGTGTGTGTGTGTGTGTGTATACATATATATACACACATATATATGCACGTGTGTGTGTGTTTATATATCTATCTATCTATATACAGACAGATATATAAAGTCCTTAACTGAATCCTAATTATCATACCATTTGTTTTACAGGCATATCTCGGAGATATTGCGGTTCAGTTCCAGACCACTACGATAAAGCAAGTTGGTCTTTATGCTGGTGGAGAAACTTGCCTTCAATTTGTAAATAAAAAAACAACACCCATGAGTTATGTCTGTATTTCTTTCAGCTGTATTTCACATGCTTAAAAGCAAGGAAAAACCAACAATAAAATTGTGATTAATAATTCCCTGACAATAACAGCCCTGACAGGTTTGGCTCAGCGGTTAGAGCGTCGGTCTGCGGTCTGGAGAGACCCGGGTTCGGTTCCCACTAAGGGCACGTACCTCGGTTGCAGTTTGTCCCTGGCCCTGATTGGGTCGTGTGGGTGGCAACCACTCGACGTGTCCCTTTCACGTTGATGTTTCTCTCTCTCTCTCCCTCCCACTCTATCTGAACAAAATATCAAAAAATGTCCTCGGGTGAGGATAAAAATAATAATAATAATAATAATTCCCTGTAACAAAATGATACACTTAAGTAACTACATATCAGAGGTTTGTAGGATAAACACAGGTGGCTCTGACAGTATTGCCAGCAATTACTGCAAAGCAAAACCAGAATTTTAGAACAGTGATAATAAACCAGTTAACAAGAAAATGAGTGGCAAAAAAAAACACCTGAGGCAAAAGTCAATAAAGTAGACTAAAGAGATAAAACTGCCCCATAGGGGCCAAATGACCAGAACAGTAAAAGCAGCTTGAGACATATCCTTGATAAGCAAAGAGGGGGTAAAGGGGAAGGCAATGTAAGTAGAAACTGTGGAATTTAGGACAGACATAAAGCAACCCCTGGAAGGGCTAAAAAAAAAAAAAAAGAGGGAGTGGGAATAGAAAAGAGTGAATGAGACATTATCTAAAAATAAGAAAAAAGGAAGAAGCCTGGGGTTAAAAAAAAAAAAAGAGGGTAAGAAACAAGAGGGATCCCCACTACTTGGAAACCAGATGCTTGCCCAACAGGCTTTTCCAATTTGACCTCCAGCAAATCAACAGTTAAAATTTTTCATCCTGCTGGTGTGGCTCAGTGGCTGAGCAATGACCCATGCACCAAGGGGTCATGGGTTCAATTCCTGGTCAGGACACATGCCCAGGTTGTGGGCCAAATCCCCAATGAGGAAGCGGCCCATCGATGTTCTCTCTCATCGATGTTTCTATCTCTGCCTCTCATTTCCTCTCTCTCTCTCTCTCTAAAATCAACAAAAAAATATTTAAAAAAAACAGTTAAAATTTTTCAAGAAAAAAAAACACATGAAATATAAACTAATGATTTTAAAGATTTAGTAGCTAACAGTTAGTTGCAGAAAATCGAGCTTACCCAATCTCTCTCAATATGAAACAAAAGGGAGGAGGCAGCTAGAGAATATATTAAAACATCAGCTGACAATAAATATGTTATAAAACCTGGATTATTTCTTACTTTCCCAGAGATGGATACCGGGTGGGAACTAATCAATGTCTTGAACAAAGGTTTGCTACATACTGTCTTATGCAATTCAGGTATATTATATACCATTAGTGTGAATACAATTTAAAAGGATGGGTAAAAAATATAAAAAGGCATATTATAAAATAAGAAATGTAGGGAATAAGAGCTGAGTTCAGAGAGCAAAGGTATAACCTTTTTTTTTAGGGACTTAAGGCAGAACCTTAGGGAGAATAGACTTAAAGAATACAGAGTATCCAAAAGTGCACCTTCAGAATTGTTTTTAAAAGCTAATATCTTATTAATATCACAGTAATATCTTATTCCAGGAAGCAGTACCTGTTAAACCGATTAGAGCTATGTTACCATATTGAACCCTAAAACCAAAGATAACGCACAAATCAAGTTGCCACATACAACCTTTATACGAGCTGATAATTATGGGGCGGACAGATGTAATTCCAACTGCTACATCTATACGGTAACTGATAACTGTAGTTAATATTTCCCCCTTTTTAAAAGATAGGAGCATATTTAGAACTGAAGAAGAGACGAAGTGTAGCTAGCATGAAGACTAAACTCACCGAATAGACTCCCAGTCACTCAGGTCTCAGCTCAAACGTTACCACGTTCCCTATCTAATGTTATTCTTACAACAGTAACTTTTTTGTTTCTTTGATAGCATTTAACATTCTCCGAAATCACTTTCGTTATGTGCTAGTTAATTATTGTTTGCCTCCCTCATCAGAACATGTGAGTGGCCCTTAAGTGACATGTGCACTGCTGGATTCCCAAAGCGCTTAGAACAGCGCTTAGCACACAACCAGGCGCTCAATAAATGTTAATAAAATAAAACAAAGACAGAATGCCATCACCCCTCCTGCCCCAACTTCTCCCGCCCCTCATGAACGGAGTTCCCTTGTGGCCCTTCTTATCGCACTCAGCTAGCTACACTAGCGATGCGACCCGGGCTTCATTCCTAGTGTCCCCTGGCACGCAGAAGGCGCTCCGTGCAAGAACAGTGAAGGCATGACACGGCGCGCCGGGCACGTGCGGGCGATGCATATGCAACCCGGGCGAGACCGGTTCCGAGAGTTTACATCAGTCCAGGCCGGACACTTCCACCGTCAGCGCCCCTCCCCTAGACCGCCCGAATCCAAAACGTGTCAAGCTGCGGGAACACTGCCGCGAAGCCCTGTTAGAGGGGTCTCAGCCTCCGAGGAGCGGCACAGAACCCAAGCTATGGCGCCGCACTCACTGTAGGTCCGGCCCAAAGCTTTGAAGAGCAGATCACGCTTCACGCTGACAGTCGGCATGGCGAGTGGGGCGCACTGCGCCTGCGCGGCGAGTGGACCGGGACGCTGGGACTGAAGTATGTAGGACCCGGCCTTCATATGTGTCTTGAATATTGCCAGACTTCTTCCAACAGCTTCTGCTTTTATTTTTCATCTAACGGAAAGTAAATTGCCAGTATTAAGCTCAGCAAAACTATATGCATTGGGTAAATAACCTAAGAGCTGGTAAAGGAGACAGAATTGGATAGAATATGCTACAATTTGATGGGCAGCACACTAGATAGACCGCAAAGGCCCTCACACCTCTAACGCGCGGTGGAAGGAGAACGCCAAACTAGGTGGGCGGGGCAAGAGGTGGGGGAGCGTGGCAGGGGGCGAGGTCTCGAGGTAGAGAATCTTGGCAGGGAGGTGGGGAGAATGTGAGTGGGCGGGGTCTGAAGTAGCTGAAGAGGAAGATGTGCAAATCCGAGTAACAAGAGCAGGAGAATATAAGCTTTTACTTCATTCTTGCAGAGTCTCCCTTCTACACTTCTAAACATTAGACCTGTGCTTTGTTTCAACCTTACAGCAGTCCTATAAGGGAGGCCTCATAAAAGACCTCTTTTTAGAAGAGGAAACAGACTGATGTTTATTCAGTGCTGTCTGCTGGCCAGTCCTATGCTCAATCCTCTACCAGCATTAGCAGATTTCCTCATAACAAACGTGAGTATAATAGGCCGAATAGCCCCCCTACGTAATTCACTAGGCCCTAATCCCTAGAACCTTTAAATGTTGTCTTAAATGGAAAGAATCGTTGCAGGTTAAAGATTTCAAAATGGTGAGAACGTCATCCTGGATTATTAGAATGGGTCCTAAATAAAACCACATGTGTCCTTGTAAGAAGGATGCAGAGGGAGATCTGACAAACAGAAGACAGGCAGACACAATGTAACCAGAAGGCAGAGCTTGGAGTGATGCAGCCACAAGCCAAGTAGTGCCAGGAACCACCAGAAACTGAAGAGGCCAGGGAGATTCTCTCCTAGCCCTCTGTAGCAGGCCCATAGTGTCTCTAGACACCTTGATTTTGTCCCAGTGGAAATTTGTTACAGCTGCAATAGGGAATTTACACACCAGGGTAGGTACCACTACCATCATCCCCATTTCACAGATGATGAACCTGAGGCACATGCTATTTGAATCACCCAATTCTCAAGGCAGAGCTGAGGCAGTTCCGCGGAGGGCCTTGCCTCCCCCCCCCCCCCCCCCCACACCTTCTGTACAGTGAAATAGGGTCTTCAAGGCTCTTCAGGTGAGGGAGCAACAGCTTAGTTGGATTTAGGCCTCCCTGATTGCCGATCAAATCATTGTTCACTGTATTAGTAGCTTCCCTCCATGGCTGCAGGCAGCCCCTTCCTAGTGCCCAACATAACAGATTGGCAGAGTCCCCATTAATGGCAAACATCTCAAATGCTAAATAAAACTCTCTGCCCTTAAATTGGTACCCTGTGCTCAATTAATGAATAAAGGACTTTCGGAATTATTGCATGCTAACCTGCTCTCCTCTGGACACTCCAAAGTGTTCTGTGGCCTCTGAAATTGTTTTCTTGTCTATAGTGTGGGGATAATAATGCACACCTTAGAGAATTATTGAAGGATTAGAAATAATACTCGTAAGTAACTAATATAGTTCTTATGTCATAGCTCCTAGCTCAATGGGCAGCTGTCTGTTCTCCTAGTCAGTTTCTTGCTATTCTCAGACTACTCAGAGCTATTCTGTCCTGATCTCCCACATGCTCCAACTCATCCTTCCTGCTTTTCATCCTTGAACACACACAGGTGCTCTGTACCTTCTCCATGACTAGCTGTTCTAATGGAAAAGGAAAAACTAGGCCACAAGTGCTCATCACAGTGGAATTGGCAGACTGATAGGAAAGATACTAGGAAAACATTGATATAGTATATCACAAAATATAGGTAGGTGCTTCTCTTGTTTAATTTTAGGTCCAGCCTGACAGCAAAAATGAAATGGCAGCATTTCCTAGAAATGAAAGATGGACTAGCCAATAAACACACGCAAAAAAATTCTCCATGCATTAGAAATTAGGGGGATGCAAATTAAAATTATAATGAAGTAGCCCTGACCGGGTAGCTCAGTTGGTTAGAGCATTATCTAGATGTGCTCAAACTGCAGGTTGGATCCCGGATCAGAGCACATACAAGAATCAACCAATGAATGCATAAATAAGTGGAACAACAAATCATTGTCTCTCCCCCCTACCCCTCCTTGCCTTCCTCTCTAAAATCAGTCAGTCAATTAATAAAGAAATTAAAGAGGTTATTATGTAGGAATACATAAATAGATATCAACTAAAAGGAAAAGGGATGAGCCCTGGCCAGGATAGGGCTTCATCCCAATATGCCAAGGTTGTGGGTTCAATCTCTGGTCAGGGCACATTCAGGAAGCAACCAATGAATACATTTTAAAAAATGTGGGACAACAAATTAATGTTTTTCTCTCTCTCCCTCTCTCTAAAAAAAAAAAAAAGGCAGGGATGATAAACACAAAATCTGAAGACTAGTTGGTTCTGAGTGGGATGGAAAAGACACAGCATGAGGAATTGGGATACGAAAAGGGTTTCAGAAATATCAGTAATGCTCTGTGTAATCTTACCTCCATGAATGTATTGTAAGAAGGTAAAGATGAAGGTGAGAAATAAGAAATTAATGTGGTGCTCTTTTTGGGGGTGAGAGAGACATGCTTGGTGGCCTATAGATGAGTAGATACACAATAGAAATACTTAATATTTTATTTTGTTTTAAGTTTTTTTTCATTAAGAGCCTTTTTTCAAAGTTTTAGTCTAATTTATAATTCATTTCCTTTTTAGACTGTGGGTTTTAGGTTATCTTTTTTTGAAGGTTTCATAAATGGTTTTATTTAATTATCATCCAAGTATATGTTATTGTTCTTACATTTATTAACTGACTTTAGAGAGAGAGAGAGAAACATCAATTTGTTGTTCCACCCATTCATAGATTCATTGGTTATTCCTTGTATGTTCCCTGACCGGGGGCACCTACACAACCTTCGAGTATCAAGATGATGCTCTAACCAACTGAGCAACCTGGCTAGGAATGCACACAAGTTTTTTTGTGTTGTTTTTGTGTTTAATTTTTGATTTTTTTATTAATTTATTTTGTTACAGATATTTCTCCTTTTTCCCCCATTGACACCCTCCTCCCTATCCCTTCCAGCGCCCCGTCCCCATCATTGTTGTCTATGTCCATGGTTACGCATACATGCATATAAGTTCTGTGGTTTGTCTCTTCCCTCCCCCCTGACCCTCTCTTCTGAGGTTTGTCAGTCTGTACCCTACTTCTATGTCTCTGGATCTATTTTGTTCATCAGCTTGTTTTGTTCATTATATTCGACAAATAAGTGAGATCATGTGATATTTGTCTTTCTCTGATTGGCTTGTTTCGCTTAGGATAATACTCTCCAGGTCCCTCCATATCCTCTCAAAGGATAACAGATCTTTCTTTCTTACAGCTACATAGTATTCCATTGTGCATATGTACCACCGCTTTTTTGTCTACTCCTCTACTGATGGACACTTGGGCTGTTTCCAGATCTTAGCAATTGTAAATAGTGCTGCTATGAACATAGGGCTACATATATTCTTTCTGATTGGTGTTTCAGGCTTCTTACATTCCTAGAAGTGGGATCACTGGGTAAAATAGCAGTTCAATTTTCAACTTTTTGAGGTAACACCATATTGTTTTCTATAGTGGCTATACCAGTCTGCATTCCCTCCAGCAGTGTACTAGAGTCCCCTTTACTCCACACCCTCACCAGCACTTGTTGTTTGATGATTTGTTGATGGTGGCCATTCTGACAAGTGTGAGGTGATACCTCATTGTTGTTTTAATTTGTATCTCTCTGATGATAATTGACCCTGATCATTTTTTCATATGTCTCTTGGCCATTTGTATGTCTTGTTTGGAGAGGTGTCTCTTTAGGTCCTCTGCCCATTTTTTAATTGTATTATTTGTCTTCCTTTTGTTGAGTTGTATGAGCACTCTATATATTTTGGAAAATAACTCCTTATCTGATGTATTGTTGGCAGTTATGCTCTCCCATAGAGTGGGTTCCCTTTCCATTTTGATGGTGGTTTCTTTTGCTGTGCAGAACCTTTTTAGTTTGATGTAGTCTCATGTGTTTATTTATTTTGTTTGTTTGTTTCTCTTGCCTTAGGTGTTGTATCAATGAAAATTCTGCTGCGTGTGATGTCTGAAATTTTGTTGCCTACATTTTCTTGTAGGATTTTTATGGATTCACGAGTCACATTTAAGTCTTTTATCCATTTTGAGTTTATTCTTGTGTATGGTGTAAGTTGGTGGTCTAGCTTCATTTTTTTGCATGTAGGTGTCCAATTTTCCCAACACCATTTATTGAAGAGGCTGTCTTTACTCCACTGTATGCTCTTGCCACCTTTGTCAAATATTAATCGAGCATAAAGACTTGAGTCAATTCCTGGGTTCTTTGTTCTGTTTCATTGATCTATATGCCTGTTCTTGTGCCAGTACCAGGCAGTTTAGATTACAGTGGCTTTGTAGTATAACCTGATATCTGGTAGTGTGATTCCTCCTACTTTGTTCTTCTTTTTCAAGAATGCTGTGGCTATTCAGGGTCTTTTTTGGTTCCATATAAACTTTTGGAGTACTTGTTGTAGTTCTGTGAAATATGTCATTGGTATTTTGATGGGGATTGCATTGACTCTATAGATTGCTTTGGGTAGTATGGACATTTTAATGATTTTAATTCTTCCAATCCATGATCAAGGTATAGGCTTTCACTTTTTATATTTTCCTCTATTTCTTTTTTCAGTGACCTGTAGTTTTCTGTGAAGAGGTCCTTGACTTCTTTGGTTAAGTTTATTCCTAGGTATCTTAATTTTTTTGCCGTGATGGTAAATGGGATTTTTTTAGTTTCTCTTTCTGTGAGTTTGTTGTTGGTATATAAGAATGCCATCAATTTCTTCATGTTAATTTTGTATCCTGCT